GTTAATATGTTTTATCGATATTGTTTTCTGCGCAATACACTCGTCCTTTTTATATTTTGGTTACTATTGATTACATTTTAAAATTACTGACTAATAAATAATAAGATATTTCATACTTCGTTATTATTATTAATAATATATATATATATTTTTTTTTTTGGTTAAAATAATATTAAATAGCTTGTTAATTCTTGTAAATAAAATAATAATGTTATTTGTAAAATAATATGGTCAGTAATACTTCACAGTTATTTTTTTATTTTTTTTAACTACATTATTATGATAATGGTTGTAACACTTGCTTTTAAAGGTGTGTTTACTTTACTCAGGTTTCTTTACTAAAATACAACTTATTATATTACTTTGATTGGAAAATATATGTACTTATATGCGGGGCATACGAACTAGTAGTACCAATTTTAAAGTTTTTAATAGCTTCATACGTTGTCCAATTTATTTTGTTTTAGACTACATAGTTGTCAGCAAAGGACTACAATTTTCTTTATTTTTTGTTAAATTGCCAACTACAGTTGCTACATTCTTTTGCTTTTGTTTTCGACAGCAGCAGCATCTACGATGGAAATAAACTTTTTGTGTGTGGCTTTATGCATATAAAATATCTACACACACTGGGGCAATTACAACTTACAGTTTCTAAATTAATTTTCATTTGAAAAATCTCCTTTTCGCTTTCTTTTTGCGCTTCACGAGCCTAAACATGAACGAAGGAACGCAGCAAACAACGTGACGATGCAACGGCGACGCACACAAACACAAAAGAAAAATATATCACTTTTATTTAATTTTATAATATTTTCCTTTTACCTGGTGAACAAATTGTGGGCACAAATTATACAAAATATCTACCGAAGTGATTTCTTTCAAACGCTGCTCTAATAATTTAAATTTGTGCTTGAATTTATATTTTTAATTTTTCAATTTCGATTATCAGTAACGGGATATAAATTATACAAAAAATGCAAAACTTATACAATTTATTAAAAGTTAAAATCACAAAAAAGGTGGGACGAAGTAAGAATTAATGTAAATACTGCTAACGAGAAATAATATGGTGGAAACATCATACAAACAAAAATTTTAATGAAAATCATAATAAAGGCGGCACACAAATATTTTGCACTACACTGTGGCGTGCAATGTCTCAAGGAGGGTCAGCGCCGCTACAAACAGTGACGTTAGAAATATTTGCTGCTTTATTTATTCTTGTTTAAACTTTTTTTGCAATATTTCGCAGCCATTGTCAATCAATGCACAAAAAGTTGTTTTCAATTTTATGCAAGTGTACACTATTTTTAAATTAGACTTGGCATTTAAATGTTGTTTTACAAAAAAACAAAAAAAAATTTAAATAAAAATTTTTTTTAATAATAACAAAAAAAAAACATTTTTGAAATAAACATTTTTTTTAATAATAATGATAATACATTCTTTTTTGTGGTGAGTTCTAGGGTAGTGTGGAAATGCAAAAGAGAGTATTTAAGCTATCACTGCCGAATGTTTAGTTTGTTTTGTGGCATGTTTTATTTTAGCTTCTCTTTAGTTTTTCCTAAATCGATTGTGGAATTGTTTAATATTTAATATATTACTTGCCCTGATATATTTTTCTGTTGTGTGGTGATCGCTGTTGTTGTTTGGGTTCATATAGATTCGCTATCTAATTACTGTTATACTTTTCTTTTACTACTCTATAAATTACTTTAATGGCAAATAAACTAAAAAAAGATATTATGTAAATGTAGTATGTATGTGTATTAGCACAAAAAACAGAAAAATAAGCTCAGGTTATACATTTTACAAGAATTTACATTGGATCCTAGGTTTTTTATGTACATTAATTAAAATTGAGAATAACAATTTGTGCAATTCGATATTTTTAATAATATCGTATACCTTTTTGGTTGCATAAAATATTTATGCGTGTGATATTCACGCGTTTCAAGCATTTAGGGAGCATAAAAACAATAATAACAAGTAGTATAACAATGGGAAGCTCGAATTAAAGTATTGTAGCATTGGAAAGTACATGTGAATATAATTTTTTTTAAGTAAGGATATAATATGCATAGTAAATACCCAAAATTCACAAATTATTGAACATGTGATGAAATGTAATTTTAAGTTTTTAATACACACACAACCACTTAAATCAACAGGCGAACTCGGATATGCGGTGAATAAATAAAGAGATTCCATTTTAAGAAATTATGAGAGTAACAAATCATTTTTAATACTTTAAATGTTTCCTTTAATAATAGAATTATTATTTTTTGTGTACCCTATAACTTTTTTAATATAATAAAGAATTGAGTGTCTTACTCTTTTTAATTATATTATATATTTCCTTTCATAAGGCGTCTTATAGCCTCTTAAAAGCACATGTTTTAAATATAACTTTTTGACATTGGTAATAAACCAAAAAAGTGCAGGCTTACTGCACAAATAAAGAAATTTATTTAACTATCAAGAAAGTCCAATATAAAATCTAAGCTTAAATTTAATTTTCGATCGCTTTCAAACTGAGTATTCATAAAAATTAATTAATAATAGTTCGTTACACCCACATATTTGGATGAAATATTAATACCCATATACCATTTAGAAACTACTTAAAAAAGGATATGAAATTATACTAAATTTAATGACCTATCATTTGTCAATAAAAAAAGCAAACTACTGACTGGTATTTTAAGTATTCAATAAAACGCATTAATACCTCTCTCAACTGATGATCCAAAAGTCTGATTTGACTCTCGAAAGTTTCCTCTTTTTGCGTGGCCTAAATTGCAGTTTTATGACACATTTTTATGTAGGGTCAAGGAGAACAGCGGGTTAGCAAACACAATACGTAGATTAATAATAAAAAAATGCCGCCGCCAGTAGTCAACAATAACATTGGTCAAATGTGGCGTTCGGTATTTTTTATTTTTTTTCCACGAAGTAGACAAACAAACAAATAGTGATGTTGACAATTTAGTAGGTGCATATTGGTTATTAGGTGAACATTTGGCAGTAGTGTTATTTTTTATTTATTTTTTTTTTTTTTGTTGTCATTTGAGCGCATTAAATGTTGCAGTAAAAGTAGTATGTGCAAAAACAACAAGAAAACGTTTACGTGCAAGAAACGTTTTTATTTGGTGTTTAATTTATTTAGTATTAGTTTGCAGCCGTGGTGATAGCGGTTGTGGTAATTTTTTTGTTGTCGGCGTTTCGTTTTTTATACATTTGTTGTTGCATTAATTATTGCCGGCGAATATTTAATTCAGTCCGTCAACACATAAAAATGCAGTGTTTTTGTTTTTGTTTTGGCGTGGAATGCAGCAATAATCGTAATTAAGTATTACAACAACAAAAAGTACAAATCAACAACAAGCAAGCAAGCAGAGCGGATAACACATGAAAATAAAGGAAGAAAAAATTATTTATTTTAATTTAATTGGTTAATCATAAGTTTTTTAATTACAAATAAACTGAAAATAAATTAAATTATTGATAATAAAACAATTTGTAGTAATTACAACCAATAGGAACAATAAATCGGTAGATATTTTATATGCATTGCAAACTGTATTATATATAATTTATGTTTTGAGCAGAGGCTTGATATAAGGTTAGAGGCTAATCACTTTTTATAAGTAAATATATGTATATATAAATCGAATATATATGTATATATACACATAAATAATATGTACGTAAAACAATAATGTATGTAAATTATGCACATAGAATGGATGATACAAGTATATATATTTCAACAAAATTTAAACGCAGAGCGAGCAGAGGAGCTAACGTGACATTTTGGTACCTATATTTTCAAAAAGAAAAAAATTAAATGTTGAATGTAGAAGCTATTTATGACGAGTAGAATTGCAACAGCAATAACAATTCGATGAATTTAGTTAGCTATCATTAACTCAATGAACGGTACGTCGTGAAAATATAAAGTTTACCTTCGAATTTTGGATTTTTTAAATAATCACAGAGACTATTGTGAAAGTTCACATCATTTATAGAAAGTATCGCAAGCAAAATGCTTTATCCTTCGTTTGCATTGATAAAAAAATAGCGCTGTTTTGCAATTTATATTGTTTTTCTGCTAAATTTCATAGATTTGTGAATGGGTCCATTTTTTATTGAATTCGCAAAAAAAAATTGCAATTCAAATTGCTACTAATTATAGTACCTCCTTTAGACGGGTGTTCAAGGTCTTGATTTGGTTCTTGTATTCTTCCTCACGTTGGTTGGCCTTTATGTGATTAAACAGCGAAGTCGACGAAGTTAAGTTTTTGGAATAATTTGCGTTAAACCAGGGGAATAAACGTAGTTTTTTGCAAAAAATTCATGAATATTTTTAATTAGGAAATTCGGTTGTAATATATTTTGTAAATAGTTTCAAGAAAAAATGTAAAACTTTTATACTTAGTAAAAAAAATAAAATAATAAAAACAAATCGAGTAGGTATACATAGGAAAACTTATATACTTAAAAAAACAAAAGAAAGAAATAAAATAAATCAAATATGTATACATAATACAATAAAATAAAAAAATTAAAAAAATAATAATATAAAAAAAAAATTTTTTTATGAGAATAGTTTAGTACAATTCTGAAAGTTGTGTTCTAAACTATTTTTATTATTAATTCATTTAGAATTATGGAATTATAAGTGTTGACACAAATAAACATTTAATGAAATCAACTCTCAGAGTTTAAGTAGAATTAAATTGTTTTTGTATAAATAAAGTATATGCTACAATTTTAGCAGCTTAACAATGAATCAGCGCATAATTACTTTATGGTAACAAAATGCTTCGATATTAGTTAATCGAAAAATATACGCTTTTGTTACGCATTACAGACTTTCAGAATAATACCTTATATAAACATTATCTTTTATAAAATTAAAAATTTAATGATATAATGTAAAATGTAAATAAATATAAAAAATGGAACTGAAAAAAAATTTAATTTTATACATAAACGATAAATTGTGCATACTGACCTTTTCCTCTGATACTTCAAGGGATTTCAAGTTGTTGCCAACAACGCGGAGTTCCTCCTCCAGCTCCACAATTTTGCTGTTAAACAAGAAATTTTTAAATAATCAAATAGAGAAATACTATTTATGTATATTCACAAAAAAATTGCAGCCAATTTTTGGAGAAAAAAAGAAAATTGTCTAATTACGAACTCACTTATTATGTGAATTACTGTGTTAAATTATTAGGGGACAAAATCACAGCCTTGAAAAGTATGAAATGCAAAATTTGCTGCCGACAACGACAGTTTTGTTTGCGGCCAACGTCAACGAGTGCCTTAAGTGACACTAAAAAATGGTGTCAACAAATCAAATTCCTGACGTTAGCGCGAAAAAACGGCAAAATAGATTAGCCAACAACTCAAAAGAAATTAGGAAAAATATTAATATTTGTTTGTGGTATTTTTTTAAACGGCGAATGAATAAAAATTGTACACAGTTTATAATATATTGATGAATCGTGCATGAAATTTTTCAAAACCAAGTGACACTTGAATTTCTGTTATCCATTTTGCTGACAAAATTTATTTGTGTTTATTTGGCAGTCACTTTCAAATCTGCCAGCGTCAAAAAATAAAACAAAATGCAGACGAAAATATGTAGTAATTCCGATCAAATGACTGGCAACTCTGCAGGAACCAGCGAATCATCGCCAGATGCTCATTATTATTAATACGAAGCGCGTGAATGTGTGTGTGTGCACAGGTAAATATTGAAAGTACATTAAATACTGATATACTATGTATGTGCACCTATTCGATCTCCAAATATTCAGTTGGCGTTTCACCGTTTTGGCAAAATAACAATAAGGAGAAATCTCGGCACAAAAAAAACCAAAACAAATAAAAAATATGTTAAAAAACCACCGCATAGCAATGAGATGATTTCAATAGATGTGCCAGCTCAAGCTGCTCACCATTTGCGGTAGGAATTACTTTTACACATGCGCTTTCTGAAGAGAAATATCATTTGATAGAAAAGAAAAACCGATTTCAAGTGTACTGCGTTTAAAACAATTAAGCCAAAAAAAATTTTGGTTTTGCAAAGACGTGACTGCGTCCGTGTAGCGGAGTGGTAAAGGCATACTCGAAAAAATGACTGAATGATCACCATTATGGATATTCAAACATTTTTTTTTTTTTGAATCAAAAAAGGTCAATTTGAAAATTGGAATTAAGCAAGATAATAAACAAAAATTTGATTTCTCTTGAATAATAGGCGCATAATTACGCACAACAAATTGGCTATTATGATTGCCATATTTTATTCATTAAGTTGTGCATTTTTTAAAGTTAATATACAAGTATAATATATACATATAATTCATACTGATTTAAATTGGCTTCAATTTTTCTATTTCTTTTGTAATAAATTGTTATTAGTAGATAGATAATATCAAAACGCATACGTAAAATAGAACATAAAACACATAAAAAGCGGCACAAACCTTTCGCTAAGTTCAACTTTTTCCTCGGAACGTTCCAAATCCTGTTCCATGAGGACTAACTTTCTGGCAACCTTTGTTGTTAGTTGGTTCCAATTTTTTAATTGTCAGAGCGTTGCGAACACATAGTGTAATGTACACAGGACATTTAACATAATACAGGGCAATTATGGGCGTTTGTGTCAGTGCCAAAGGCAGCGGCAAGGCGAGCGAGCGAATAGTGTTAATGTTTGTGACAACATTTATTCGTTTCATTTTTTTTTTTTTGGTTATCATTTGGTTAGCATATAGCGGCAATAATACATACAAAAAGTAAAAAAATTCAATTAGTTGCTGTTTTAAGTGTAAATTTTGTATTTTCATTTTTATGAATGTGAGAAATGTGAAAATGTTTGATGTGCACGCCTGCAAATGTTTACTACTACTAATTTTGAACATGAATTTGAATGAATGTAACATTTTTGTACACATTTGTTTACATATTATTTTTTTTATATTTTACGTTACAAGTAAATAGGCGCATGCAATACAAAATTTGGCACATTTTGTTTACTGATTATTCACATTTTTCCAATTCATTTAAAATTTTGCTCTCACTAGCTAGCTAATCTTGCATTCAGGCAAAAATAATTAGATTTATATATAAACATCAAAACGGAAATTTAAAAAACAAACAAAAATAAAGAAATATATAAAAAAAAAATGGTTAGGTTTCTTGCGTTTTCGTGAGTTAGTCGAGCAGAACAGATTCTGCGTGGGCAATAAAAAATAACGATAACAAATTCAAACTGAATACTTAGAACTAATTTTTAAAAATTATCATTTTTTCCATATTAATTTTTTTCGGCATATTGCACTTATTGTCTTAATTAGGGCATTAACAAAAGCAACAACAACTGTGTTAGTGATCCAAACTGCTTTAAGGACAGTGGAGCAAAATTGGCGTTATTCATTCGTGTAGTAAACGTACTTCTCTCCTTGCTCCGCACGTTCCTCAGCACGTTCCAAATCAGCTTCAACCATTGCCAATTTACGGGCAACCTTTGGATATTTAACGCGTTCGTGTTGTTGTTGTGTTGTAGTTGTTGTCATATTAAGTTTTACATTCATTATTGTATAGTAAAACATTGTAGTTGGAAATACGGGAAAATTGAGATACAAAAGATATACAGTTATCAGTACATAGAATCTTTATTTGATTTTTTGTCAAGAGCACGTTTGCGTAGGAAATGGCGAGCAAACAGCAAGAACACAGATGAATAAGCAGGCAAGTACAGATAACACAAAATCCTGTCCGAATTAAGTCAAGAACATCGATTTTATTTTAAAATTTAAAGCTTGCTTGATTTGATAGATTAGTATTACTATAAGTACGCATATTGTGAGTTGACAAGTAAAACTCATCAAGTACTCCAGATAATAATTTGACATATTAAAATAAAAATTATGAATTATACACTTCAATTTATAGATTGATTGCTCTCTTTTTAACAAAGAGTTAGAGACATTAATTAAGCAAATAATAAACTTAAACAAGAATATTAAAATTTTTTTTCTGTACTTAATGTTTTTTATCAACTCACGTTATGATGACCTACAACTTGTGTCATAAATATTTACATATGTTCATAAAATAAAAAAAAATTAAAACTTTATATACGACTGCTGTAAATAAAACTTGTGCGCTACTTTGTGTACCCTAATTTTTAAACCTATATATTAAAAGATTGGTGAGCCCTGGATAGCATTTCTTCGTTGAGTGTAGTAAAAAATAATTTTGGTTTTTGTACACTTTTGCTTCAACTAGTTTATATTTAAACGAATGCTTTACAAAAAGTTGACACAGCATTCCTAGCCTAGTATATAGTTATATTGTATATCTCTTTTGTTAACCACAAATTACTTTGCTGTCGTCATAAAGACAAAATATAATTAAATTGTCTTAAAACCTTTACAAATGTGTAACAATTGTGTAGTTTCATTGTACTTAAAATCATTCCTTTCGTCGAACCATGAAATTATTTTAATTTTTTCTGACGATTTCACGTTTCTTAGTCTCTGAGGCCGATTTTAAAAATGGTTTTTGTGTGACCGAAAATTTCGGGATTTTAAAAGGATGTGAAAGAAATTCATTTGACATCATGCATGGAAAGCATAATATAATTGGTTTTTAGGTTCTGCAGATTATTTACAAATATTAAGGCAGATAAAGTTTCAGTCTTTACTAATACAGGCGGTTCTTTGCAAAGACCATATTGTATAGTTGAACTCAATTTCGACATTTTATTAGCAAAATCGAAAACTAGCTTTTAACTATAATACATTATCAGAATACGAAACCAAAACGAATGTATAAGCCTTTAAGAAGAGCAAAATTTATATGCATCTAGTACTTGCACAAATGTGCATATGTATGTGTGTATTTATTTTATCATTTCCTTCGCTATGTTGGTACATACCTGTACAACTTGTGCTTTCCAAAATGAACAAATAGCTATGCATCAAACGTTCGATTCATAATGATTGCCTTATAGGGCCACATGCCACATAGTGAAGTTGTGATAACAAATAGCTCTGCGCCACTAGCTTGAGTAAAGATGGCAATCGAGTGAATCACAATCGGGCTTAGTAGACGCCAGCAAGTTGGTTAGCTTAATATGTAGGTGAATGTGTGTTTGTACACAACGCCCGAAAAGCCCAAGCAACCAAACTTCAGTTCACAAAGCATGATTCATTAATTCAAAGGGTGCGATGAAATCACCGGCAATTTGAAGAAAACACAAGAAAGTACATTTATAAAGTATTCAATTTAATGGCGAAAACACAGGCAAAAGGAGGAAGTGAAATATGACGAAAGATAAAGGTAGTCATTTTCAAAGAAATTGCCATATGCAGGCAAAAAAAAACAACACGCGTATGTATGTGTGTTTATCTGATAATTTTATGTTAGGCAAATATAATATGCACTAAGCAAACAAAAATGTACTTCAGCGGCACCCTGTTCCGTTTTGTGTTTCTCCAAAATATGTACTTTCATTGAAAAGGTTATATTTAACACACAATTTGCTGTGTTGACGTCATTGTTGCTAAAGAAATGATTTAAGCTTGATAAACCAAAGGTGACAAATGCGCCAATTGAAGGCCGAAATCAAAAAATATTTTGCAGTTCATTATAAAGTTGCGACAAATAGAATAGTGCCATGTTGTTACTAATCTAACGACAGAATGTAATCTTATCGCATGCAGCTGATCAATTATAAGTTACCATATCAGTTGTCTTTCGTTATTTCATTTGTATACTAATTATATATTTGTATAAGTTTTAGTTTTCTATAGTCTGAACTAAAAAATATTTCAAATGGTATTAAGCATCACACAGCCTGTATAGATTCTTAATAAAACTTGTATCGTATTTCAAGAAACTTATAAAGCTGAAAAAAGTAATCATTAATGTCTGCCTAAAGAAAACAAAGAAATTCCTTCAATAATGAATATTTTATATTCAAATTTGAATATTTTTGTAATGTACAAAAACCATTGTCCAAACAACGAAGAAAAATGCTCCCATTGCTCCCATTTCATTAAAAACGACGTGCTATTGTCTCCATTATTTTGCTTTGAATCAATTAAACTTTTATTTTTATTTATATTCATATAAATTTCATAAGAATTAAATAATTTGATGTGCTCAGTTATATAAAATTTAAATGTGTAAATGTGTGTCAATATAAAATACAAGATTAGTTGATATAGAAATTTGACATTTTGTAGATAATTTATATAAACCTTTGCAAATATAATTGTTTAAACAACTGGCCAAAATAAATTTCTGAATTATAATAATATGTACATTTTTTTGGAGAAGTTTTGTAATATTTATAAGTATTGCTCAGTTATTTGTTACAAACATAAAAGGCAGCATTTTATAGAAAAAAAAAGAAGTGCATGTGCAGGAGAATATGCAAATTTTAAAATGTATTTTTTTTTTTAATTTGAAATATAAAATTTTTTCACCAGTTAACCAATAATTAAATCTTAAATTTATATATTAATAAAAAAAAATGGTAAGACCAAACTGTGCAATTGCAGTAATTAATTTAAAATTAAATCAATTTTAACGTGCGTATATAATATTGAAGGTAAAAATCAAGCATAATAGAATTTTTTAATTTTTTTTCTTATGTATAGAAAAAGGCAAAATTAGGCACCACTTTGGACTGCAATACACTTTAAGGCTATGCATTTTCTGCTTTTTCTTATAATTGTTTAATTAAGGTTATTAAATTTTCAATTTAATTCTGATGTGGGCGAATGTGTTTCGGGAAAAATTTAGTTAATATTTCAAAAATGTAAATAATATCGTACGCATATATGTATATATACATATATTTAATCAAAAAAAGTTAGGAAGAGTTTTCAAGGAAGTTACGTCCACTTTTGCTCATCACTTTTAAATTTGTATATTGTAAAGGCAACCTTATATTACTTGACAATTGTTTCGCGTATAAGTCAGCCATTTATATCGCTCCTGCACTCAACTATCACTTGACTGCGCCTATTTCAAGTCAATGCACGTAATATATATACATATTTATTTTTTATAAATTTTACATATTTACTTTTCTTTACTTATTCTTTTCAGTGAAAATACAACATAGTAGCAGCACAAGTTTCATTAGTTTAAAATATAATTTTAATATGTTTTTGTTAATTAACGTACATATAAAATTATT